GATGAGACACCCTAGGGCTACTTGAGGGCCTTGCAGGTCTCAGTAAGCCTTTTCCTTATTTGCAGGGCAAGGATGAGTCTGTTTGGATCAACATCAGGGTTTGGTACCGGTGGTACCAGCATGTTTGGCAGTACGACTGCAGATAACCATAATCCAATGAAGGTATGTGCCTTAGCCTCCATGGGAACCACTGTTCTGCTGTGGTTAATGTGTCATAGCAGTACCTACTCACCCAGGTCTCAGTAAGCCTTTTCCTTATTTGCAGGGCAAGGATGAGTCTGTTTGGATCAACATCAGGGTTTGGTACCGGTGGTACCAGCATGTTTGGCAGTACGACTGCAGATAACCATAATCCAATGAAGGTATGTGCCTTAGCCTCCATGGGAACCACTGTTCTGCTGTGGTTAATGTGTCATAGCAGTACCTACTCACCCTATAGAAGTAATAGGATCTCAGTGCACAGTTTTCAAATGTGGCTAATTTTGTGTTGTCTTCTGTCATTTATAGGATATTGAAGTAACATCTCCACCTGATGACAGCATATCTTGTTTAGCATTTAGTCCGCCAACGTTGCCGGGTAATTTCCTTATTGCAGGATCATGGGCAAATGATGTAAGTACTCACAGTTAGGCCCACAGATGAGTAAAGTGGGAGCACCGGTGCCTGAACTACAAAATGTGATCGTAAAAACTTGTGCTAGGGCTCCTGAAAATCTTCATCAGTGCGAAACTGCAAAATTTGTGTCTGGTGCCAAGGCACTAAGTTTGACATAGCTGAGTTGCTTCAACTGAGAAATTTAGTTGTGCTCTTCAGATAAGTCATTCCTCTGCCTGTGTGTTTTAAGCTTCAGCCCAGAATATGTAGTCAATGTTTTCCCTGTTAGATTTTCATTAGTTTGATTGTTCTTTCTTGTATTTGTTTGGGTTTTAGCTTCACTTTCTTATACAGTTAGGCTAACATAGTTATGCTAACATAGTTATGCTTTGCCTAGTGAAAGAACCATGAATAAAATGGTAAATCATCCAGTTTGACAGTGTCCTCTCAAAAAGATTAAGTACCTACAACGTTATTGGAGTTTGTTTGGACTGAAGCGTGAGATCCCAACTAGCACAAACAGGGAGGGAAGACAAATGTGAGCACATTTTTTCAACTATTCTGTTTGGTCTGTTGGCCAGTAGCCTGCAACAGGCAGCTTCTTCCTAGCTGATGGTTAAAGGTCCTTCAGGAGAGCACTGAGAGGTGTTATGGGATCGTAAGGTACTTTTGAGGTTGAGTTGAAGCTATGGGGTTGAGTTGTGGCTGTACAGATAAAAGGAACACAATCAGAGAAAATAAAGTTTCACTAGTTCTGAAAAAAGCTTGGTGCTCGTAATCATAATTTTTGTTGGATAAACTAAGGCTGCGATCTTCAAGAAGAGAAGTCTTGTAAGTTCTTAGTGTTAATATGTTACATCTGTATACGCTTCTCCTGTTACAGGTTCGCTGCTGGGAAGTTCAGGATAATGGACAGACAATTCCAAAGGCTCAGCAGATGCACACAGGGCCCGTACTAGATGGCTGCTGGAGTGATGTATGTTCCTATTTAAAAAAAAATAAACAATTATTTTCCAAGACCTTGAATAAATTGGCATGTGGTTTCCGGACAGACATGAGTGCCACATGTAGATGCAGCCCATGATTATTGTATAGACTTACATTACTGTAAATATGTGGTAAGCATGTCCTAACAGAATAGACTAACATGGGCACCAGAAGAGTAAAAGTGAGTTTAAAAGTAAGAATGTATTTAAAGCTAGGTAATAGCACAGTTGTAAATGAATTTCCATTGTTATGTTTCTTCTTTGTCTTGCAATCCCTGTACATGTTACATTAACTTTATGCTGTTACTAGAAGAGAATAAGACTTGTCAGTTTTCTGATAGATACTGCACGATAGAGCTATTTATCTCTTGGCCTTATTCTTGTTTTTTTAGGATGGTAGTAAAGTATTTACTGCTTCCTGTGATAAAACTGCCAAAATGTGGGATCTCAACAGTAATCAAGCTATTCAGATTGCACAAGTAAGTAAGCAAGCCCCAAGCTATTAGGTGGGGTTTTTTTCTTTTCTATTTTTATTAAAAGCTACCTTTATTAGCAAATTAAACTAATGTTTAGTGCTTCTGAAGTAGGTACTGCTATGTGAAGAAAAGGTTGTAGGGTGCTTCTTATATTTTTGAGATAATGAAGTACACATGAATAGGGAGACCTGCAGTCAAAGTGATTTGAATAACTTGTGCAGCTGTTTCACCTATTTTACTTGAGAGAGCTCTTTCCATTGCTGCAGTCATCTCACTAAGTCACCCTACTGCATTATAGGGGGAAAAAAATAAATTAAGAAATCATTGAATTCACTTTCACAAATACCAGCTTTCTGCTGCAGTAGTAACAGGGATTATAATTTACATTTTCAATTTAGAAGTTAATATCTGTTCATAGAATATGGAGTTATGGTGACTAAAATGAGTTACCAGTCATGTAATTTAAGAGAGTTGGTCCTTTTAATGATTGCTTCTTGTATCTTATTTGAGGTGATAAAATTCAGATTCTCAGCCTTGATTTTAAAATCTTGCTGGTGTAATTAACATAAGCCTTTCTTCTGTAGCTGTTGTCAGAAGCTGGGGCTTTATTAGTTTAATATAATACATTATTTATTACAAAGTGTTGCTATTTAGTATGGTGGATAATATATAAATAAATAGAAAGTCCTGCTGTGTATAATTTGTATTTCTGCTGTGACCATCTTCCTATGAAGGGTGATTTGATTGTAGTTCTTTGTGTCGGGATCCTTTTCTTAAGTGGGTGATTTTACAGCACTAAACAATACAATAAGGTCATCACCGCTCTTTATCCTAACTGTTGTGACTAAAATAATGAATCACTTTTCTTGAAGGGATAAAAAACGTAAGTACATACAAAAAATATGAGGAGCATAAACAAGAAATGTGGACTGTTACCTTAGTAAATGTATCTGTGTTTGTCCTTTTTTTTCTTCAGCATGATGCTCCTGTGAAGACTATCCATTGGATTAAAGCACCAAATTATAGCTGTGTGATGACAGGAAGCTGGGATAAAACTTTGAAGGTATGATTTTTACCTGAACAAATGGAGGCAAAATGTGCTAGTAATCTGTGTGTGAAAATACTTATGTGAAGTGGAAGTATTTTACTAAACACTAATACAAAAAAAAACCAGATTAATGAAATAGCCTCACTTCACAGAGGGTTGTGGCATTCTGACTATGGACAAGAAAGAAACAAATTGGTACCAATCACATTCTCTTTACTGAAGTGATTTAAATGGTGTATCCTCAACTCCAAGTGTAAGTTTGTTCATTTTTCTGTTTCCATCAGTTCTGGGATACCCGTTCACCAACACCTATGATGACATTGCAGCTCCCTGAAAGATGTTACTGTGCAGATGTGGTAAGCCATGATATATGGTTAACTACTGTCAGCTAGATGACTGAGAGTATGAATAAACTGGCAGTCTTTGAGGCTTCTGTAGGTTAGTAGTACTAGATACTGACTGTTAGTATTTGATCTCTGTGTGATTTTAGCAATAAAACATAAACTGATCTTTTTGATCAGGTTCTGGAAAATAAGTATTTGTATCATACAAAACATGCTTAGTAGCCTTTTAATATCACAAAACCAAACCAACACTGGGACTGACCTATTCTTATTTCTGGATGAGTTTGTATACCACTGTTGCAATTCACACTGGAAGAGTCATCTAATAATTGGAAGATTTTAGGTACGTTTAATTTCTCGGTGGAAGGGAAAAACTGATTTGTTTTGTTGGAAGATATGTGGACAAATTAACTTTGATCTTTCTCTCCTCTTCTTCTTTCCCTCCCTCCCTTCCCCCCCCCGAAAATAGTCTTAATTTCTTTAACTTCCTCAGGGATTTCTGTGAAATAATAAATAGAATTCTCTGCTATGCTATTAACACAAGCATCTCTCTTCCAACCTATTTTACAACCTTATCCAGGTTCATCCTATGGCTGCTGTGGCCACTGCAGAAAGGGGTTTGATCGTTTATCAGTTAGAGAACCAACCTTCTGAATTTAGAAGAATAGAATCTCCTCTTAAACACCAGGTAAATGATAATATTTGTTACAAGTGTATTTATACAGATCATTGAAATTCTGGAGTTCCCATTTTTTGGTAGAAACGAGCAGTGTTTCAAAACCAAGTTATCTTAGTATGGCACGTCCTTGTTTGCCATTGATCTATTGCTGATCTTCATCAGGACTTAGACGTGTAAATACTATGGCCCAAATTCTCAATAGAATTTGACCTATTTCTTGACCTTGTTTGTGTTTTTGTTTTACTTTGCATTGATGTATGTGATGTTTTGTGTCCCCATGGAAAACAGACAGCATTCAGAAAATCCAGCCCTCAAGTCTCTGTCTAAAATCCTCTGTATCTTTCTCAAATTTAGCATCGCTGTGTTGCTATTTTTAAAGACAAAGTGAACAAGCCTACTGGATTTGCCCTTGGAAGTATTGAAGGAAGAGTAGCTATTCATTATATCAACCCCCCAAATCCGTAAGTATCATTTAATAAAACATCCTTTCTTTATTGCTCAGTTTACAATGAGGAAAGTAAAACGACTTCTTTTTTTAATTATTTTTTCCCCTCAGTGCAAAAGATAATTTCACTTTTAAATGTCATCGCTCCAATGGAACAAACACATCAGCACCTCAGGATATCTATGCTGTAAGTATTCAGCATATATCGCTATATTATTTATACAGGGCAGTATACACTCTCAATGTAAAATTGGCTATGAATTGTTTGTTCTCCTTAACTTTAGGCAAGATAAAAAGTCATCTTAGATGTATGTTTAAAGAGCAGTCATAGTTACGCATTAAGAAGAAAGAGAAATTTTTGTACTTCCCTTAAAACAAGCACCAGATCAGCTGTTGGTTAAATCATCTTGGTGGAGTTGACATTTGTTAATTTTGCTGATATTAAAACAATACTTAATATTGTGTAATGGCATTATGCATTGAATTTTCAGGTACTACAAAAAAGATCAGTCTTTCCTTGTTGCTTTGGTGTTTTGTTTGGTTGCTTTTTTTTTTTTTTCCTCCAAGAACATACCTGAAAATATTTAAAAATGTCATGGTTTAACCTCAGCCAGCAGCTAGGCACCACACAGCTGCTCGTTCATTCCTGCCTTTCCCAGTGGGATGGGGAGGAGAATCAAAAAAATAAAGTAAAAGTCATGGCTTGAGATAAGAACAGTTTAATAACTAAAGTAAACTAAAATATAATACTAACAATAATAATCAAAGAATATAATAATAAAAATTGTAATGACAAGGAATGTAAGGAAAAAACCCACACACCCCCCCAGAAAAACAAGAAAAGTGATGCACTAGGCAATTGCTCACCACCCGCTGACTGATGAGCAGCGATCGGCCCCTCCCAGCCAGCTCCCCCCAGTTTATATACTGAGCATGACATTTTGTGGTATGGTATATCCCTTTGGCTATCAACATTATTCACACGCTAAATCCAAAACACACTGTACCAGCTACTAAGCAGAAAATGAACTCCGTCCCAGCTGAAACCAGGACAATCTAGTTGAAAAAAATCTTTCCTGTGTACCTACTCTCTCAGTATTCAGCATATCTCTTGTGAGTGTTCCCATCACCTGTTCATACATGTGGTGTTTTACATAGTATTTTTTATGATTCTGCAGGTAAATGGGATAGCATTTCACCCTGTCCATGGTACTCTTGCAACAGTAGGATCTGATGGTAGATTCAGCTTTTGGGATAAAGATGCACGAACGAAGCTAAAAACATCAGAACAACTTGACCAGCCAATATCTGCTTGTTGTTTCAACCATAATGGCAATATATTTGCATATGCTTCCAGTTATGATTGGTCAAAGGTAAGAAAGGTTTAGACTCATAGTCGTGCTTGCAGTTGACAACTAAAGCTATCCTTTTCACATGAGGCTTTCACTGTTCTTTATAAATAGTAGCTGAGTCTTTCTAATTTCACAAGCATGCAGGAAAACGTCGAATTGTCATTTTAGACATCTGGTGAAATTTAACACTGAAGCAGTGCATTATTTGGTTTTTAGCTTCAGTTGAGTAAGATTGCTAAACAATGCTAATTTGCAAATGTGGATGAGCAAAATGGAAATTACATGATTCAGAAGTTATTCTGGTTGCTCACACACGTTCTTCTGTGGGGAGTGTCATGGGGCAATGTGGCACCCTAACCAGTTCCCACAAATCTCTTCAAAATGCACATCTCTGCTTCTTGTGCAGATTCTCTTTAACTTTAAAAAAAGCTGTGACTGTGGTTATAAAACACTTAAACCAGTGTTTGAATGCCATATACTAAATTTCCAGTACCACTCGGTGCAGCTTGCTGGTGGCACTTGTTACGTATTTCTCTTCCAAACTTGACTCAACAATATATCGTATAGATTCTAGAGAAAGGAAAGATTCAAAGGATTCAAGGAAAGATTCAAGGAGACCATAATATGTGGAAAATAATACTTCTTAAATCGTATAGATTCAAGAGAATCACAGGAAACCATAATATGTGGAAAATAATACTTCTTAATAGTTTAGGAAGAGGGTAGCAAGGTTGAAATGTAACTGATTTTAATGGAATGGCAATTTCCATTAAAAGTATTACTCTCCTGTTACAACTAGTGCTTTTAAATTTGAGGATAATATTCCTTGTGGTTTTGGCTTGAAACGAGTACAGAAATCACACAGGTGAACTCAATTGCATGCCACAGAGAGCAAAATTTTAATTTACTGTATTGTATGTAGTCTTCTAGATGCTGCCCAAAGTAAGATAACTGTGCTAGATGATAGGGAAGATGAATTCTTCTGTTCTAAATGCTTGGGTAGACTGCAATAGTAGATATGTACCGAGCTATCTTTCAGATCTGTAAAGCAATATCAAGTAGTAAAACCAGTAGGTACTAAATACTGAATTTCCTTTCTAGAACCATTTCTGTCATGTAGAGTTGGTAGTTTTCAAGCTGTGCGTTGGACTTCAATAGCTTTATTAGCATTTACTCTCCCTGATTTGAATACTTGCATATTGAGTTGGTAATGTGTATGCAAATAATGTCAATGTGCAAAATAGTATATTTGCATCTGCAGTTGGGGAACAGAGATATTTTGCAGTTGACTGTAGAACCTGGGCTTCACTTTGGGAAAAAATGTGACCTTATTTCATTTAAGAGAGAGAAAATACAAAGTTATTTTTTTTATGCAAAGTTTTTTATACTTTAAAAATGGATAAGCGTCCCTTATATTTTACTTTATATGCATAGTTCTTGTAATTACTTGTTATAGTAAGCTGTTTCTAATCCACCAATGTTGTCCAATATCTGCTCTTAAAGACTTTAAGATTAAAACTTAATAAACCAAGCTGATGGAATATTCATGTTCTTACATTTTAAGATAATGCTGATATTTCTTCTTTGAAGAGAGTAAATATAGATGATTTTTCTTTTTAGGGTCACGAATTCTATAATCCACAAAAGAAAAACTACATTTTTCTGCGAAATGCAGCAGAAGAGTTAAAGCCTAGGAATAAGAAGTAGTGAGTATGAGTCTGACTTGTGTTACTCTACTGTTTTTCTGCCACTCCTGCCTCTACTCCACTGCTCTTCTGCCATTTGTGCCCTGTTGCACCACAGTTCAGTCAACTTTAGATCGCTAACATTTAGCAGGAACTGTAAAAATTACATGTATTCTGACTTGCTCAAGAACATTTTTCAAATTAAGTATTCTGATGTGTTTAAGAAAGAGAGGCTAGTATTCACATGACTTAACTACTGTCTGTTCCATAGCAATAATGAAATTGCAGCAAAATCTAAATCTGGGTTAGATATTCCTGCTTAGAAGTGCAACCATTTGTATCTATGGATTTCTTATTAATACTACATTAAAATATGTTTAATTGTAAGAGTTCTGGAGAAGTTGTATAAATACGGTATTTTTTGTAAGTACTTGAAGAATTGCAAGTAATTCTTAAAGGAGGCTTGTTATTACTTATCATTCAGGGGTTCTTTCATTGCTTTCTGGTTTTTAAAATGGAAGTATCGTCTGCTGTATGCCAGGAGGAAATGCCTTGCAAATTGTTTTCTCTCATTTTTTGGATGAATTAGGTAGGTGTGTAAGTAAGTGGCCAACAGCAGTGACAGAAACTCGAGACAGAAGATGGGCACAGTGCAAATTCTACTTTAGTTTTTTCTTACGCTCCAGCAATGGACATGACTTTTGAGCCGACGATAATTAGGCTTGTTCAAAGGAGAAATTGCCATTTGTGCCAAGAGGTATATAGTTCAGCAATACGAGCAAACCATTAAAGGTTTTGTTTTGTTCATGACCAAACCAATATGTGCAAAATACTTGTGGCCTAAACTGCTTTAAAACTGACACCTTTTAGAGTTAAAGGTTGGTTCTTTTACATCTCTCTTAACACGTTTTTGTCCCTTAACAGGGTTCTGGACTGAAAAAATGTACTCATTTTTTGTATTAACTAGAAAGTAGTGCTGGTGAGTTTCATCCTGATCAAAAATGCTGTGAAACAAAACAAGTGGGTCTCTTTCTGACTTGAATCTACCACTGTTTACTTTTAACTAGCCAGTTGTATACATGCCAAAGTTTTCTTTCTAGGAGTGAATGCTCATTATTCCTGTTTAACTATTGTTTGTTTGATAATGACTAAATAAAAATGGGGAGGCGCATGTATAGAAATACCTGTCGTATTGTACAAATTCTCTGTAAAACTGTATGTTGTAACACTTCTAGTTATGGATTCATGCTACATTTCAAATAAAATTTTTACTAAATGCTTTTTTATATTCAAAAGTTCTATTATAATAACATGGGCAAGGTGATGTGCTTCACTACTAAAAGCAACTTCTTGTCCTTTCACTGTAATTCAGACACATTTTCTGAAAGTAAAGTACTTCTCCAGCTGCTTGAGCTGGGAATCTAATGCATTTTCCAGTTGCTATTTCATTATGAAGTGATTCCTGTGGTTTCATATCAAAGAATTAAGAGGACTAGTGTGAAAGGCCTTTTGTTTTACGAGAATGAATCAAGTTCCTTGCTATCTCAACAGCCAAACACCTGACAATTTGTCTTTAGTACAAATGAATCGTACAATCTTTAAACTCTCTGTAGCCTACTGGTCCTTTAACTTCGGACTCTTCTCTTTACAGTGTTCATCAGTTTTTTCTTGGGTGCGTATTTCTTCTTCAGTATAGTTGAGGAAAGTCCATGAAATATACTCTGTTGTTTAGGAATGCTCTTTTCTGGGTTTTATTTCTCAAAATAGTTTTTTTTTTCCTGCTACATCTATGTTTTACATGGTTTTGGATTTCACATTCATAGACTATTTGTTGTCTTTAAGACAGGAAAGAGTTCCCAGCAGTTACATCAATAGCTGGTATTTGCTCAAAACATTTCTTTTGGTTGTGTTTTGTTTTGTTTAAGGTTGTGATTGTTGTGCAGTAATCTTTGGTTGTCAGCATATTTTTTCAGACTTCCCAGTCAAATGAATGCCACCAAGCAGTTGCAGGCTCAAGATTAAATGTGTGTGATCATTGATTGGGGGGGTGGAGGGCGAACACAACTAATCTCCTGTGTGCAGAACTCCCACTGGTGCAAACAGGGAAGAATGAAATGTATCGTCTGTTTTTTGTTTAAACAAATGTTTTTTGTTTAAATACATAACAATGTGAATGAGTGATGAGAAACAGATTCACACTAGTTCAGCAGGTGAGTTTCTACTGGATCCAATGGAGTTGCACCTACTTAAGTGATACTAAGTTTGGCCAAAATATATTTTCATTATGAAGCCAGCACTGGTAAGTCTCTCTTGTTTGGTAATACAGGTCTGTGTTAATATGTTGAGTACTTACTCTCCTGTCAGAATCAATTTCTTTTTGTCTGTCACTGAGGTTTCAGAATTACTTAGTCATCGCGCCAATTTTTCAGACTAATTTTAGAAGGGCATATTTTGCATTACATTGCTGTGCACATTAGATATATTCAATTGGGAGGACAGAGTCAAACTTTGAACTGATTTGTTTTCCATTACCCAAGTTAAGAGAATGCATTGGCAATTTACTCCTCCCTGGAATTACTGGGAGGTTCTCTTGTAAAGTACGCACAGCTGTATCCCTTCAAGCACCAAACATGTTGTGAGAGCTTATTCACACGTAAGTGTGTGTTAGTGCACGTTCTGGAAATGTATTAACTTGCTATTCTATGGCAGTTACCTGTCCAAAAAAACTGAATGAAGAATGTAAAAGTCTAATGTGTGTACCCAAACCTAACCACAGGAATGCTAGATTTATAAAATAACTTATTTTCGTTAATTTTTTGAAAGCTTGCTGTCGATGTTTGTGTCTTATTGCAGAAAAATAATCTTTGGCATAAAGAGCAACTCAGTTAAGCCCCCCAAAATGGGGATGTTTTATAAACATTTTCAGATAAGCTATATGAACCTTCTTCCTGCTAGTCTGACATCAGTAGTCTTGCATGTTGGTTTATGAAGTGTATTTCAGAAAACTAAGCAATTGACAAAAAGTTTGTCTGCTAAAGCCTTTCACAAATGAAAGCAAGACGTTTGCACAATGGCAAGCAGTCAGGCAGAGTATCTTAATTTACCATCTGTCAGATGAAATGCAATGGCTGTGTAGGTGAGTACTCCAGCCTAACTCCTAGGCTGGGACAACAGGTTAGTTTGAGTTGTTCTCCAGAGAAGTATGGATTTGAGATAGAGGTAGGGTTAGGTCTATGTGGGAAATTTCAATAAAACTATTGCTTAGGCCTGGTTCAATTTAATTGTGACTAGGTGCTGTTTGCACAACTGTGAGTGATAAGGAATCGTGTCAAACCAGCATCAAAAGGTTTACGCTATATGGCCTTTGAAATGATAGAAGCTGCTTATTTCTCATTTGCTTTTCTGCTGTTGCTGTTTGTAGGGATGATTGGGGACAAAATGAAATGTTCAGGTTTATGCTGTTATGTTTTTACATCTCCAGATTTGCTGGCTAAGCATCATTTTCAGTCTGGGGTAAGACTAACTTCTTTCAAAAAGTTTTGATGGAGATTCACTATGTAAAACATTTCCTCTAGGTTGTTCAGCTTACCAGCCAGGTGAGAATCATCATTTAGTGCTGCAACACAAATAATGAATGGAACAGTTTGAGAATAAAATCAGTTCCCTAATGAAATGTTCTACACTAGCAGTTGCAGTATGCACAAAACGCTCTGAATGTGCAATTTAAAGCTGTTGCTGTAAATCTCCTGCTGTGCCAGCAGGTGGCGGTGTTGCTGGCCCCTTCGCGAACGCCCTGCCGGCCGCGCGGACTGCCGCTGGCTCGGCCCCGCCGCAGGTCTCCGTGGAGCTGGCAGTGCCTGCAGAGCCGCTGCACGTGTGCTGCAGTACAGGGTACCCTTATTTGTAGCACTGTGCTATCCCAAAATACTCGGAGAATGGAAGAAGATACATACAAGATGGAAATACTTTTTAATTTGAGTTTTACAGGTATCAGTAAACGTAAACGAAGACCTTTTAAGAACAAACGATGAGATGCTCTTTTAGCTGCTCAGAGAGCCGTCTGTATGGCTGCCTGAGTTTTGGGGACCTAGGTGGTATTAAATGTGTTGGTAACATGTTTGGGGACCAGCCACTTTAGGAGTTTAGAATCAGGTGAGGGTGGAATTGAGTGAGTTAGCCTATGAGCTGGACTAGTGGGTACTAGCGTTCCAATTAACTTCTCTTTCTAAGACAAATCTTAATAACTTAGACTCGTTTTCATACTGCTGTCATAGGAGACTGTAGGTTTAAAACTGGTAAGCAACTCTAGTGTTTTTTTTTCCTAAACTGGATTTCTTGAAGGAAGAATGAAAAAAAAACAAAAAACACAAAAACCAAAACTTCACTCAAAACCAGATAGATAAGCTCAGTGATAAGCTACTTAAAAACAAGGGCACTCTTTTCCAATAATTTGAAATGCAATGTCTTTTTTATTTTCATTTTCAAAGCTGGGAAATGCACAAGATAATGAAAGGGGGAAATAGTCTTGAATTATAAGTTTTAAATATGGTTTTAAATTGCTTATTTACCCCATGTAGCTATTTTGTCGCTGGGGCATATGTGACTGGTAGCCCCTGCTCCTGACCCCTGGTAATGTGGTTAGTATAACTAACGCCATTTTATAAGGCAAGCAGCCACTCTGTGTGACCAAGCGGGTCATGCATTCGTTCCCTTTCCCTCATCAGGCCCTGAAGGTCCTGTGAAGCAAGTAGACAAACCAAACAGATTTCTTGATCCCCTCCCTGCCGGCCTCAAGATTCCTGGGCACCAGGCCGACCATTCCCTCCCTTAGCTGGCCTTGACCGTCCCACATAACCGGCTAGCCAGGTGGTGGTGATGACCCCGTCACAGAACGGGGAAGCGTAACAGCACACAGAGCACTGTCTGAAATCAAGCAGTTACAAGCCTGAAGTGGGGAACTTGGACCCAAACTGCTGCTGGACAGTGAGACCCATGACCCGCCGTGGCCAGGGATGCCTCCAC